TCAGCATAGAATGAAGAGATGATTAACAAATTTGTTGCTGCTCAGATCTCTCCTTCCCTCCTTCTCCCTGACCTTCCTTCTTTCCCTCTTTTCTTGTTTTGAAACTTCTCAGGTTATCCTTTTAATCTCCAATCACTCTGGCAGCTGACGTGGATATAGGACATATTAAGTCTCCAAAAGATAGCAGGGGCTTACTCAGGATAGTAGCTGTTTTCAATTTATTCTGCCCTCGAACCCTTGGAATGGGACAATGCTACACGATTTGACAAAAGAAAATCAATGAACAATTTACGTCAGTAATTCTATCAGCCTGTTTAGGGTAGTGTCGCAAGCATGAAGCATCAGAGATGTTTTCTGAAAAAAAACTGCAAAGTTTTACAGGTTTGAGTGAACTTGTTTGGCCCCAGGGAGGTTCTTAATGGGCAATTAGCAAATGTATTTCAGTCTTGTTTTTCTCCCTCACCTAAAATTCCTCCAGGCATGGAAATCTAAAGTTTTTCATTCAAGGAACCCCAAAGAGCTTTGAGGGTCACATTCAATTTCAGAGTTATTAAAGTAATATAGTAAATCCCCTTTTTAAAATTCTTGGTGCAGTTCACATTTTTTTTTATAGGATCTTCATTTTATTTATTTATTTTTTTAAGATATTTTTTATTTATTTGACAGAGAGAGAGAGAGGTCACAAGTAGGCCGAGAGGTAGGCAGAGAGAGGGGGGAAGCAGGCTCCCGGCTAAGCAGAGAGCCTGATGTGGGGCTCGATCCCAGGACCCTGGGATCACGACCTGAGCCGAAGGCAGAGGCTTTAACCCACTGAGCCACCCAGGTGCCCCCAGTTCACATTTTTGTAGAAAAACCTACAGCACAGAAGTTGGATACTTTATGTAACTATTAAAACCTGCGTTCGTGTGTTTGTCTCAGAGATGGTTGCCTTCAGAAAGCACTGTTCAGCAGCCAAAGTAAATTAAAAATAATTTCAGTTTTCACTCGTATGCTTGGCAAAACAGAAGAGACTCTAAATAGCAAGCCCATGACTACAATGATTAAATACCCCTATTCTTCTGTCCATGTTTCTTTTTTTTTTTTTTTTAAAGATTTTATTTATTTATTTGACAGAGAAATCACAAGTAGACGGAGAGGCAGGCAGAGAGAGAGAGAGAGAGAGAGAGAGGGAAGCAGGCTCCCTGCCAAGCAGAGAGCCCGACGCGGGACTCGATCCTAGGACCCTGAGATCACAACCTGAGCCGAAGGCAGCGGCCCAACCCACTGAGCCACCCAGGCGCCCCTTCTGTCCATGTTTCTGCCCAAAGCCACTGGCTCAAAATCTAGAGCTACAGTTCCCCATCTCCCTCTAGGGGGTTTGATCTGACACAGCCGTGGAAGGGGCTGCTGGTTGAGTAGTCTGTGTCCCGTGCTGTGTGCTCTGAAGTCAGCAGGGTCAGCCCGTGAGAAGGGCAGTTGGACGCAAACGGAGATCAAGGGCAAACTGAAACCCACGTGGATGAGCTGGAAACCAGCCTTTCTCCCTGCCTTCGACTTGATGGTGCAGGTGGCCTGCCGGAGAGGGTGACGAGTTCCTCAAGAAGCTAAGCACGTACCGGGCTCCGGAGTGAGAGGAACCCAGGCAGGCCCCAGAGGGAACTCTAGGAGCTCCAGGTTCTGCTGTCCTGCAAAGCTGGTGAACCAGCAGAGCAGTGATGCACAGTGTAGACATGTATCAGACCCTGTTGCCCATGAAGTGACTTTCTGAATGTTAACCGTAACTGTGGCTAAACTCCCATGCAAAATGTCTTGTGTGGCCCATAATGAGCCAGAACAATGTAGGAAAGAGAATTCTGGAAAATGTAGTCCCGTATAGATGCTTTTCCTCCTCCTCCTCTCTCTCTCTCTCTCTCTTTGTGTGTCTGCGTGTCTGTACACACAGACACATATTTATTTATTTATTTATTTCTGGGACTACAATGCATGGTTCCGTCCAGTGGACAACGACCCTCAGGTACCTTAGGTTCTTTTTACTTTTCCTCATTTTTTTTTTCTTTCTGCTTCTCAGATTCAAGAGGTTCAATTGTCCTATCTTTAAATTAGCCAGTTCTTTCCTCCGGCTTGTTCATATCCGCTGCTAAACTCTTCTAGTGAATTTTTCACATTGCTAATTGTACATTTTAGATCCAAATTTTGACTCTTTTTTCTTGTTTTCTAATTTCTATCTTTTCATTGATATTCTCATTTTAATGCATTGTTCCTGATTGCCTTTAGTTCTTTGTGTTTTTTAAAAAATCACATTTTAGCAGTTGTTTTACTTTGTTGAGTACGTCCAACCCTGGACTTCCTCAGGGACCATTTTCTGTCAATCTGTTTTCTCCTTTTGTGGGGGTAACTTTCCTATTTCTTTGTATGACTGGGATTTTTTTGGTCGTTATTGAAAACTGGACCTTGGACTATCATGTGGTAACCCCGAAAGGCAGATTCTCCCCCTTCCCTATGGTTTGTTCTGTTTTTCTTCCTTGAAGGCTGTAGTGGTCTACTTGCTTAGTTACTTCCCAAAACTGATTTTTGCAAAGACGGTGTTCCTTATGCGGGAGCTCACTGCAGTCTCTGTTGCTTGGTTTCTGTTCCACTAGTGTCTTTGAACACCAGGAACTAGAAACCAAAAATAAGCCTCCCTTTCCTCCAAGGAACCCATAACCAAACAAAAAACACTAACAACAGCAAAAACAAAAGCCACCTGTCCCAGTCTTTGCGGATGTGCGTGTATCTTGCCCTGGGCACGTGCAGTTTTCTGCAGTCCTCTGTACATGTGGCTTTTAAAAAATGTCCTTAGAAGCTCTGCCGGGCTTTTGCTCGCAGGTCTTGTGTGATCCATTGTATGTCTCAACTGTAACCTTTGGCTCCCGGCATGTAAGGGTCGTTATTGAAGTCTGTAGAGTTTTTGAGCAAGGCACGCTGCTTTTCCAGCTAGAGCTCCAAGTTGAGCACAACAGGGTTGAAGGCAAGTTTGCACCCATCCTTCAGGGAGTCTTCATGGGAGTTCACCCTGACACACACAAGCACTTGCGAAGAAGGCTTGTCCTGCGTCCTCTGGAATCGTGGGCCAGGGTTCCAAACGAGGAACCTCTGCGGTGGCTGTCTCATGACCAAATCGGGAGTGGTTAGGACAAGGGTGAGTAAAAATGCCACAGAACATCCCTGTTGTCTGGAAGTTGCCTTTCTCTTGACTCAGCATTTGCTTAGTTGCTGTAAAATTTTGACTGTTTTCCAGAGGACTGAGGAGGTTGGTTCTGATGACTTGTACTTGTTTCTCAATGTTTCTGTGGGGGATGAGCACGTGGGGCTGCCTCTTCCACTATTTTGCTGATGTCACGCTTCCTAATTTTTCTTTCTGTTTAGGTAAATATTCTAAATAATAACCCATACCTGAAACAAATTTTTTGTTAACAGATAATACAAGTATAAAAATAACTTTACATGTTACAATGAAATTCAAAAACTAGAGTACTCTATAGTAAACAAGAGCTGATGAATATCAGAAAGGAATAGTGTTCCATTTTGTGATGTGACAAGAATATTGATTCGATTAAAGAAAACCCTGTGAAAATCTGTCACCTAACATTTACTAAGGAAAAAGCAGAGTTAAAAAAAGTCAGGCTACATTGCGGTTATATGCTTGATAAAAAGCTATATCTAGTGCCAATCACATATTCCTAAAATCCCTGCATTCCATTTGAATGTATTAAAAAAATACCTCAACAGAAGCATCTCCTAATTGTACTCTCTGTGGAAACACTGTTAATTGTCCACCTGACGGTCATTCACTTGTTCCCATTCTCTGCCAGAATCTTGATTTCATTTAGTGAACATGGTCCCTTGACCTTTCATGAACCTTGAGCTCTTCCAACTCTGGAGAATGAATAATTGTTATTATTCTAATCCGATGATAGTAAGTTTGTATATCTCTTGCCAATGACTGGGTTAAGCATGAGCATCCTAGCAATCCTGATCACATATACATTTCTGAGGCCGCAAATATTCCATTTCCCTCTTAATCACAAGCATTACTATATGATTTGTAAGAGGTATATGCCCCAAGTGCACATTTTGAGCACAGACTACAATGGTTCATAATTTATGGAAAAATTGAAAGTTTTTACTTGAAATTATTTGTTCATATAACTGAGGGGAAGTATGTTTGGTTCTTAATTATCAACTGATATTCTTATTTTCTACTTCCCTATTCTTTTAAAAAATTATTTTAATGCACACAGCATTTATTTTGATGCATGGCTAGATAAATGGAATGCAATGATTCTGGTCAGGTGGTCTTTCCTTTTTTGCTTCCCTCTTTCCCTCTTTATCTCCTTTTCCTCCTTCCCTCCCTCTGTCCCACCCCCCTTCCACTCTCTCTTCCATCAGTCCTTCCCCAAATCACCACTTCCTGAAGGAGTTAATGCAATTCACCATTCCAAAAGAAAGGTCCCAAATATAGTGGCAAAGTTAAGCTCTTTTCTAGACCAGATTGAGTTGAGTAACCCAATTACAAAAAGGACTCTCTTGGTTTTAAGGACACAAATGTCTATATATAGGTGGAAAATCAGTATCCATATACCCTACATCAACATAGCATGTGGCACCCATAAGCACTGATCCCAGACATCTCATGTAGGCTGCTATGTAAAGGATTCTTTTTATTTATTTATTTTTAAGATTTTATTTATTTGGCAGAGAGAGAGAGAGAGATTGAGAGAGAGAGAGAGTGCAAACACAAGCAGGGTGATAGCAGGCAAAGGGAGAAGCAGGCTCCCTACTGAGCAAGAAGCCCAATGCAGGACTCCAACCCAGGACCCTGCGATCATGACCTGAGCTAAAAGCACATCCTTAACCGACTGAGCCACCCAGGGTCCCTGCAAAGGATTCCTTTTAATACTATCTTGTTTGCCATCTGAAGGAAACACCTAGACAATGCAGTTGAGCCCAAGAACTTAATAACCCGCGGAATGTAGGGCCAGGGTTTGGAGACAGTTTGTCTAGGTTGAGAGCCCATTCTCTTAGCCACAAAATTACATTGGAGAAAATAACTCGTGTTTAACAAGTAGAAGAATGTAACATGATAAAAGGGCATTTTCAGCAGGCCATTTCCAGTACTTCCAGTTCCATGAGAATTTTTGCCTTTGCAAGCGAGAAGCAGGGAATCTACTCTGGCTACTATTTGTGAAGTGAGACTTCAGGAGTGGAAAGAATGCATCAGCCCATGGTTTTGCTGATCACCCTTCAAGAGAGAAGAGTGGAGCCATTCCAGACTAGTACTACTTCCTCATCACATGCCCCTTGGGGTGGCATTTAGAAAACTTGAAAATTATATTCTTCTCTGGGCTAGATTATACTCGATTGGGCTTCAAGAGCAATCCCTGGTCTTTCTTCCTGTATACCTAGACAGCTGGGGACAGGCACTGGGTTCCAGGTGACCTTCCACATTCTAAGATGTACCCTGGTGATGGGCTGACCATTGGTAAGGTACTGTTTTGACATGCGTAAGGTCATTGATCTTTGAGAGCTACAGATATCTCTCTCTGTCTCTCTTTCTCTCTCTCTCTTTCTGCTTGCAATTGTTCATGGACTCCATGAAAGGCTTCAAAGAAGGGTAGTTGAAACTACGGTCTGTGCTCAAGACATTTGTATGCTGTTATTTAAAGTGGAGCCATTTAGATTGGAAAGTGTATTTACATTTTAAACACAGCATTCTGGAATGATAACAACTATTCAACTTAATTTAAAATGCACATCAAATTGAGCTCCGTGTTGAAATGACATTTTTGATCCACCAATTATCGAGACACATATAGTGATGGGGAGCCTGTGCCTTTTCTCAGAAGCCCTTTTTCTAACACATGGGTCAGTAAAAACAAACAAAAACTGTCAGTACATGATCATGTAAAATAATCATGTTGGTTTTCTTAATCATCATGTTATTATTGACCATGTGAAATCTGCTAAGTTTTTCATCATGCCCAGAATATATCATGAACAATGCTACCTAACAGCCAAGTTACTGCACATGCAGAAATCTTAATGGCCAGATAAAACGTTTTCTCAAAAAATGTGTATGGCTAGAGATTTCATGAACTTGGCACAAAAGAACTCTTCCAATCTTCTCATTATTAAGAAACTGATTAAATTAAAGTCAATTAAATAGATTACAAAGAAGACAAAAATGACAAAAATTGTCATCCTGTGAAGAGATCCGTTAAAGTCAATGGCTGGAAGGTGTTTCCATTATCATTGGCATTTGTGATCGAGAAGCCTTAAACTTCAGTACATTCCATTCGATATATGTCATTATATTAGAAATTCCATTTAGAAACCTAAAGAAGTTGAAATGGTTCAAATGCAGATCTATAGCAAGCATGAAGGTGTCCAATATGTTTATCCAGTGATTTTAAAATATTCCTTTTCTTTAGACAAAATTCCTAATCTCTTAAATATTTACTGAACTGATATTAATGGAGCAGAATAATAAAAGTATTTTTGCCACAATGATTCCACGAAGGTGAAAGAAAGTACGATACATTATAAAGTGCAAGTGACTCCAGCATCTTCAGCGTGTGAACAGCCTCTCACCCCCCATTGGCTAATTTTACAGTCTTCGATAGATGATTCTCTCCCAAAACAAAATACTTCATTCAGCCAAATTGGACCAGTACCTGCAGAAGTCAGATACAAATGCGTTAGTAAGTATGGTTTTCGGGTTTCTATCTAAGTGGGAAAAAACATTATTTTATACACTAATTTAACAACAAAGGGTCAAATATCATCTATATACAAGTTCTGTGCTTTCTCTTAGGATTCAAAAATTAATCTCCTGCCCCTGAAAACTTATATGTTCTGTCAGTGAGTAAACTAAGTACAAAGTAGTAAGAACTGTAACAAAGGTACATACACAGCTCAGTGAAATCATAAATAAAACACTGAATGGTTTGAACAGACTGGTTTTGGTTTTAGAAATAAGAAAGGAAATAAGCTTTACTGATCATAGGCATATGTCGTGACCTGATGGTCTGAGAACATCTGTATGAGGCATTCTCTGAAATGTTACCATATACTAGAGTTCTTTTCTTGGCTTCCAGGGTTTTGCCATTTACATGCGTGGTTTACCAAATATATTATCTATTTTTATTTAAACTAAGACTAATAAAATGAGCAAAGGACTTACAAACTATCCTGAAAGAAGACCATAGATTATTAATTGCAGGCAAAGGTAGACAAAAACAAAATGGCAGAGCTAATGCTCTCTTTATCTTGAACTCTTCCACAGACACGTTAGAAGGGAAAATGGCCGTCAGCAGCAGGCTACCGGGGAGATACCGAGCTAACTAAATATGCAAACTTAACTGCCACACTGAAGATAAGGACATTATTTTATCAATGAATACAAAAACAAGGGCATTTTGAAAGGCATCCAAGCATGCCAAAAAAAGTTCACTTTAAAAATAATGTTCGGAAATATTTTTCTGGTATTCTCTAATGATTTTCTGCATGTATCATATTTAATAGTTCCCCTTTCTTTTACACTTAAGACAGTTAGAAATGGAACCTTTGAAAAACCTCTAAATGAAAGATTGCATTGGGTTTTGTTAAATATATATCATGCAAACTTCCTGATGAGTTTTCGAGAATATTTCATGCCATCAAGAAACATGATTTAGCAGCTAAACTTCAAAAAACCCCTTAGCAAGACTAGTGGATGGTAAATAAATATCTTAATCCTTTCAGCATAGTCAATAATACATTTCTTCAATCTGGATCAATATGATGTTGAAAGGTTCTCTTTCGGTCACAGAGCTGTAGAAAACCTACTTAGAAATAACTTCAGCTCAGAAACAGACCTTGTGTAGCTATGACACAGTGCTAGATGAAGACTTTTTTTTCAAAGAGGCATGTATAATGGCACACATAATGACATCCCTCTTGCTGATTATTCAAGTATTCTGTGGATTCAGAAAGCAAGAATTTATGTACGTGGCTGACAGTGTGCATAATTATACAGTAGTATGTGCAGATGTGAAAAAATTACAAATATTTTTATAACCACTGTGTGGATAACATTTGGCCTAATCTTAAAAAATGGACAGAGCTTTTCCATGTATAAAAAAGAAGTTATTCCATATAATGGGGGCAGCCTGAAAAGGCTTGATGTATTACAAGAGTCAATGGTATCCTGGCATCTAAAACACAAAGTACATTCATGAGGGACAAGGACTCATTGGGAAGGCTGGATAGAAAGCCAGGGCCATGCTTTACAATATCCAAAATTTTATAATAAGTCACCAAAAGAAATGATGTCATCAGAGCTAAATTTTAGAAATGTATGTCTGACAGAAATGTGGAAGTTGGATTAAAGAAAAAAAATCTGTAAACCAGAAGGACATTTAACAGGATGCCTGTGGAGAGATTTCCTCTGAAGTCTCAAGTATTTATTTACTCTTAGAATTAGATAGGAAATTTGTATTTCCACCTCTAAAATAAATTGTGCATTCACTTAATCTTTAGTAATTTGTTCCTTTACTAGAAAGATCCAAACATGGGACAAAATTATATTGAGGTTTATGCTACCAAAGTAATTAGGAACTTTGTATTGTTCATTTCATATAATAGTAATTAAATCACTCGTGTCCAAACAATGTTTCTATTAGAAAAGAAAGGTTTTCCCCGGCTTATTAATTATAAAAGTAGTAATCTGGAGAGTGCAAGTATTTTTTGAAATGTTTATAACGGAGTGAGCCCTTTCTGGCTTGAAATTTTAAGGCAGATAAAAAGGAAAAGATCCGGGAAATATAATCTCAAAATCAGAAACCTTACCAGGAATGCTGCTTTTGTTCCCAAGTTGCTTTTAGTAGGTATAACCCAGTCTCTTTTGTGTTTGTGTGTCTGTATGTGTTGAGTATATTTGTGCGTGTGCTTCTTTTTAAATATATAAAGTCTATATAAACTTTTTGGGAGTCCCAAACAGTGACTCAAATTATAGCTAAATAATAATAATAATTGCACAAATGGTGACACTCCTCCCATGTGAATGTAGAGGAGAGTACAAACAGTGGGACATCTATAAACTGTACTTATTAGATGTACAGACATTTATAAATTGTATAAATAAACATAAGTAAAACTTTTGGTCAAAGCGGGGCTCGGTCATAACGGGGGACAAGAACAGTCAGGCTCTCTGGCAGGACACAGTGATGCTTTCACTCATTTTGTAGATCAAATCGTGGGATTTAGATCTCAGCAGCGCAGAAGTCTTACAACTCAGGAAAAGCGAATTAAGAACGAGAATCTTCCCAGTGGCCGTAGCACCAGCCGGGGCATCCCCATAGGGGCAGCAGAAGACAAATATTATTTAGTTGATCAATGTTCTGACGGGTGAACACAAATTTTTAGAAACAGCGGTAAAGGAATTTCTGAATGTTAGAATACCAAAGCTGTCGTCATAATAATGAGCATTTAAGCCCACTCTTTGAAGAATTAATGATGAGGCTGAAAACATTCAAAGTAACTTTTGATCTGTTCTCTCATTGAATCCTCAAATGACCTTCAAAACTTAAGTGCTTTCAAAGTGCCATTTTACTGTTGAGGAAAGGGAATATCAGGGGGGATAAGTAATCCACCCAGGGTCATGCAGCTAATACAGGATGGAGCCACCAGCCCTACCCCACGTCTGCCCTGAGCCAGTGCCTTTCATCAAGGATTCACGCAATCTTCGTTCTTAGATTCAATCATTCACCCAATCTGTTTTGGGTGAACAAAATCAAAATCAAAATCTATTCGTCCTTGAACTGTGAAAGCTTCTGTTGGAGGTAGAGACAGCAACTGAGGTCACAGAGGTACTTAGCAGCAGAATTGCTACTTGGATCTAGAACCCCAGTGCCTTTTCCACCAAAAAACACATGGATAAGATCAATACGCTGTGCGATTCTCCAAGTCTGGTCTTCAGCTGTGTGCAAAAGATTCCCAGGGAACACCCTAGGCCTTTTCACATATGATCTTTAAAATTTATATCTTCTAACGACCCTGTGAAATAATGGCAATTATCTCCACGTCACAGGTAAATAGTTAAACTGAGACTCAGAAAAAAAAAAATGTGTGCTTTTCTCCAAATAACAGAGAATAGAACCAAGAAACAGAACATGACGACATTTTAAAACTTGGTGCTATTCACTGACTGCATAGAAGCCCGAACAGAGTTATAAAAATAATTTTCCAAGATTTGTTTTTATTTTTACATTAATACATTCAGGACTATTGAGCCTAAGGGAAAAATTTATTTAACATGCATTTTCCATCTCATTCCAGATTGTTTTCTGCATTAAAAATTAATTCAAAGGTAGCCTAGTATTCATAAAATTTTACCTTCATGTAAACCTCAAAGATTAAAAAACAAGTTTGTTTTTATTTCTTTACATAATAATGATCTCTCAAGGATTATAGGTATTGCTGCTTTCATTGTTATTTGCCTCTGAACTATCTTTCCAGTTTGTGGGAAACTATGCAAAATTGACGTGTACAGTTTAGATTTTTTTTTTTAATTTTCTAATCCTATCTATGTATCATCCATCTGTTTATGTACCTGACCATGTACACATCTACAATTCTCTTTACAATTTGGGGGCAGGAGGGAGGGCACATTGACTGATTTTGTATTTCCAAAAGCACACAGCTATCAATGTGTTGTCCACGACTCCTGGAATTTCATGAGGCTGGTTTGTGATGTCTGAGAATATGCTTGACCTGTGATACCACTTCCTCTTAATCTCTTAAAAAAAAAAAAAAAACAAAAGATACTGGTATCTATTTCAAGGATTTGAGATTTTTTAATCTGATCTTGAATGACTCACCACTTTTCTGAAAAAAAAAAAAAAAAAAAAAAAAAGTCATCATATTTTATACATTAGCCGGAAAGATGGTACAGTGATGAGATTTGAGATTAGCTGTTGAGTAGATAACATGAAGAGGCAGAAACCACTGTTGGTTAGAAGTCTGAATGAATTTTAATTAAATCTAGTCATGGCTTGGTGATTTGAATCTGTGTTACTTTTAAGATTTCTAGTTGGGAAGTACTTTGTCATCAGCTTCCTCTTTGAGAGAAAAAAAGCTTTTGTTTTTTTGTGAGTTTTTTAAAACCAAAGGTAGAAACAGAGTGGGAATCAGAATCGAGGATGGGTAAACTATAGTTCTATGTTCTAGTGTAGCAGTTCTGAGGAGGACATTGATTTTCCCTGTTTTAGCAATGAGGCAGAATGAGGAGATGGGGTTGAAACAACTATGAGATTTCATTTACCTTTAAAATTCTATAATTCTAAGATTTTAAAGAAGCAAGCTCTGTAGAAATCAAATTCTTAAGGATAAAGAACTTAGAAGGACATTCTATTGAATGGAAAGACATAGGTTAAGGTGAGCCTCTTGACCCCTCCCCCACAACCACCATGATAGTTATATAAATTTGGGCGGGTCTTGGGACAGCTGTGTCAAGTTTACTTACAGAAATTTCTCTGTGTAAATTGGGGCTACCATGTCTAGTTTCACAGGCACTGTGAGCACGAAATGAGGTCATATAGTATGCACTTGATTAACAATACTATTACATACTTGGTATTGTTTTTGTTACCATAAGTAACAAAACAGGTCCATAGAGTTTTTAAACATAAAACTT